AGTTGAGCGCATCCCTTGTGGCTCCCACTTCGGTGGCTGGCTCACACTTGTTTATCTCTAACATGCTGCCGTTTGCCCGTGAATACGCCGGCCGTCCCCTGTGGAGGAGTGTAAGCCCAGACCTCTGCGGAAAGCAGATCTTGCGCCCGAAGGGCTGACCTCTCCCCCATGGCTCGAGCGGTAAGGAAGACAGGCGAACTGGGCAGTAAAGCTGCAAGGTAACTCCTCGCGGAACATGGAGGGCCAGTATACCTAGGTGTTCTTCTGCCTGTTGCCTAGACGATGCTTGTGAGGAAATGCCTTGTGTTCCAGTCGCTAAGCCACGTCCACGTCCCTCGTCCTCGACCGCACGTGTGGACTGCCTTGCCCACTCCCACTACAGCCAAGCACACATTCATCCGCAGAATCTGGGAAAGATAATGCAGAGAATGCTGTAAAATAACTCCATTGGCACGGGAGGTTCATAAGCACAGCTGCTGGCTTATAGCGGGTTCTTCGCAGCCGGCGATAATGTTGCCTGCGCCGTTGAGGGCCCACTCAGCCCACAGCCGTTATCTCGAATCAAAAGATCAGTAATCGAACCGAAACAAGCGAGTGGCTACTAACTAGCGTCCAGAAGCCCTTTCAAGCATGCAACTCCAGGGGGGCTGCGAGGCAAATGATAGGCAGCATTACAATGCTGGACACTGAAATGACCAATGAACTACAGCAAGGAAGGCACACCGCTGGCTATATGCATGCTACAGTGGATGATTTAGCAGTATTGAGCTATGTTCCTTTTTGTTCGTTCGGTCCGTGTTTACGGAGGTTGTAAGACAGGACCAGCTTTGGGGCTGGATGGGGAAAATGCTTGAGAGCAGCTCCCTATATCTACTTATTGGGAGACCTCCCGTCAATGAGGCGTAATGTTTCTTTGCCTATTGTAGGAAGTTATATTGCGTACATTGAGAGCAGGCGTTCGATGAGGAACCCACGGCTACTTCAACACTGAGCTGGCATGGTTGTGCCGTGAAGACGTATTAAATAGTCTGTTTGTGACTGAAAATGGGGCACTAATGCACTGAAGCCCTAGGAAGCTCTACAGTGCAACTACTCCACACCTACAGGCACCGTACGGTTTGCACGTGCCGCGTAAATAGTGCTCACGGTGGTCGGCAAAGCGTTGTCGGATTGCTTCTGGGTACAGGGATCATGAAAAAGATATATCTTGGTGTTGCGGGAGTAGAAAGAGGGAGTCGGGACTCGCTGGGTGCATGCGAGCACCCACATGACGCGATCATTCCCATGACACTGCCTCGCCGGTGCCTCCTATCTACGTTGGGTTTTAGTCGGTGAATTTCCGTGAGGAGAGGCGCACCATGCACGGAAACGAAACACAGGCTCCATCTCGGTTCATAGCTGCCAAATTACAGGGCACTTGTTCTTTTAAAAGAACCAGTACACCTAGCCAAGGAGACCCATCTGCTTAGACGAATTATGCAATTGACGCTGGCCACAGTGGCAGATGTCTTCACGCTAGCACTTAACTACTCCTTCACTGGTAATATTACAACTCTTGAGCACTTCTTGAGATAGGGCCAAAGCGACTAGCTGAAGGTACATGCCCATAACTAGTTACAACCAGACGCAGCTGATGAAATGCTGCGAGCAGGCAACGAAGAAACAGCAGGAGACAGAAGAACACGCTAGAGTTTGGGAAAACTTTTTTTTTGTTATTTTGCCTTCCAATGCAACAAGTGAATGAAGAGATGCGAAGAGGAAAATGATCTGGCGTCAAAATGAAGTGTCGCAACACGGGAGTTGAAAGCTCAACTGCATCTTGAATGCTGTATGCTATCGTAAGAGCTGAGTAGTTCTGCAAGCCCACGCTCGAAGACCTGAGTCCTAGGAAGAGCTGCTGCCAACTTAAACAGTAGTTTGAAATAAATACGCTCATATTTAGACGCAAGCCACGTAACCTTCCACAATGCATTTTGATGCCATAATTGCGAGCGGAAAAACTGCACAGGCCCCTTTGATGCAGTATTTGGGGGTAAGTACGCACATACTGCTTACTTGATATATCAAAGTGGACGCTTGAGCTATCATCCTAGTACAACAGAATGTATGAAGATTAACTTCATAAAGCACCTCACTGCTTCACTCCTCTCTGGAGCTTATGTTCCATCAACAAGACATCCCAAAGACCAGATGACGTTGCTGGCAGATACTTTGTTTTTCAGTCACATTGTGGCCAGCTTGAGGACGTGAACTGAAAACCTAGCATAAATTGAGCGTTTGGAGAACCGTCACATTAAAGCATTAAAAAAATATCTAACACTGCAAACGCCTATGTAAAAGTGAAAACGCAATTTGTGAAGCCTAGGGACTAAAAACTTGAGCTGGTCTTCCTTTACAGCGGTTCTTCGAGCTGTAACTCCCTTCCTTCACATAACCCATCAGTATTAACTAGGAAAATGGGTCGACATATATAGAGAAACAAGAAGGAAATGATGCTTAAATTTCATCGCATTGTCTGGGCAGCTCAATTAGTAAGCAGAAATACAAGTCCCAGGGTGGTACGCAAAAATTTTTGCCTTGTAGTGCACTGCATGTGTCAGAGTGCATCTCTGGAGGGCCCGAGTAGAGCTTTGTCGTGTATATACATGCAGTAATATCAACGCGTGCTCTACATTACAGTTATAAAATCTGTCAATGAATAACGCTGTCAATGGATAACGCCTTCCTCCGAACAACCACGAGGCGCCTATGTACGAACGTCTGTGCTGTGAGCTTTTCAAGCGTGCACTCCGTGCCACAACAACGACCTCAAGTCCTTCCTTGAAAGAGGATCCGTGAAGTGAGGCGCGTCAGGCACTACGCAAACGTTCTTAAGCGTTCTACAAAATGATCGCTAGGGCGAAAGGTGAACTGAAGTGTGGTTTTGAACAATTTGGCAAATCAAAATAGCGAGATGCGGATGAGCTTCATAAAGTGGCTGTGCAAGTCAGTAAAAATATGCTGGAGCGGCTCTCTTCATGCTGGCAACCGTGCCAACTAGTTGTATGCTGCGAAATATGTGCCTAATGGCGAAGCACGAGGCAACAGGTACTGTGTCTTTAGGAAAAGATTCTCTTGTTACTGCTGTGTGTTGCAACTCAGTGAGTGTTTTTGTCAGTCTTCGTTGACACACGACTATTCAGGTGCAAATAGGCCACTGCGTTTGTTGTAGATTTGTTTTGGCGGAGAACGGGGTCAAGTGTTGGTGAGCTATTACGGCTGCGCGCAGTGTGGTGTATTGTCCTGGTTGCTTGGTATTTGAGTAGGGTGCCTCTGTCGCAGGACGTTTCAGGGCATGCGTTGAGGGGGCTGACGATGAGAGCTGAGGAGTTGGAGCGTCTGTGGGGGAGTAGCGTGCAGTAGTATGTCGGTGACGATACGCGAGATGCCACTGCGTTTGTTGTTATAGGTCTGTTTGGGTGGAGAACAGCCTTCAGTGTTGGTGCGCTAGTATGGGTGAGCGCAGTGCGGTCCATTCTCCAGGTTGTTTGGTATTTGAGTAGGGCTCCCCTGTCACAAGACGTTTCAGGGAGTGCGTTGAGGGAGCTGATGATAAGATCTGAGAAGTGGGAGCGTTCGTGGGCAGTAGCGTGCAGTTGTGTACAGGCAACAATACGTGCAATGCCATTGCGTTTGTTGTTGTAGATTTGTCTGGGTGGCGAACGGCCGACATCTTTGGAAAACTGGTACGGCTGCGCGCAGTGCGGTGTCCTCTTCGGGATGTTGGGTACTTCAGTAGCGTGCCTCTGTCGCAGGATGTTCGGACGTTGCAGAAGGTGCGTTTCGGGAGCAGATGACGAGATCTGATATGTGTGCAATTTTGTGGGGGAGCAGCGTGCAGTAGTGTGTAGGCAGGAATACGCGCGGTTGCGCTTTCTTTGTTGTTGTAGCTGTGTCTGGGTGGCGAATTTTCGCCAGTGTAGGCAGGCTGTAAGTTCTGTGCATGAAGGGGCGTGATTAGTCTTGGTTAGTGTGATTAGTCTTGGTTAGTAGTTCCGACGTTTGCGGATGTTGTGTCACTGTGGTGAGACTGTCGGTTGTGAGGCGTTGTTTGTGGTGTATGGTTTAGTTGTTCAGTGGATGCAGTCGTTTAGCGTGGGATAGTCTTGGGCGGAGTTGGTTGTGATTGAGTGGTGCAGTAGAGATTCGATGAGGTGCGCTTCAGAAGAGCGTCGAGAGATGTGGAGTTGCCTTGATTGGATTGTTGACGGTTTAGCTGATTTTAGCTGAGGCTTCATCGCTGTCACTTCGCGTTGGTGCGTCTGTGGCCGGCAGTCATTATTATGTCGAAGTTTGTCGTGAGGCGAAAACAAAGTCCTCAAGGTGTTTTGATTGGCGCGTGACGGAGTACGGCTGCGCACGGTGCGGTATACTATTCGGGTTGCTTGGTATTTGAGTAGGGCGCCTTTGTCGCCGGGTGTTCGGACGCTGCAGGAGGTGCGTTGAGGTAGCTGATGACGATATGTGAGATGCTAGAGCGTTTGTGTAGACGTAGCGTCCAGTAGTGTGCACGCGATGATACGCGTGACGCTGCTGCCTTTGTTGTTGTAGATTTGTCTGGGTGGCGAACGGTCGGCCTCGTTGGAAAACTAGTACGGCTGCGCGCAGTGCGCTGATTGCCTGGGTTGCTTGGTATTGGAGTAGGGAGCCTTTGTTGCAGGGTATTTGGACTTTTAGGAGGTGCGTTGCGGGAGCGGGTGACGAAATCTGATTCAGGGTTTAGGGTTTAGGGTTTAGGGTTTAGGGTTTAGGGTTTAGGGTTTAGGGTTTAGGGTTTAGGGTTTAGGGTGTAGGGTTTAGGGTTTAAGGTTTAGGGTTTAGGGTTTAGGATTTAGGGT